TCGTTGAATAAGATATAATAGGAGGAACCCATGATATTATAATTAATTCTTGACTTCTTCGAACACACCAGCAGGTCCAAATATGTCTTATACTCCTTGACGAAATAGCATGTAAATGTTGAAGACTTGGCAACATTGTGCTGAATGCTGAGAACTGACAAGACCATTTCCACAAGTCGTACGCTGTGTTGTCACGTTTACCGCTTCAAATGTCCTCTAGTGTGAATGAATATAATTGCTATTTACACAAATTGAGACTATAATTGTTTTTTTATTGCTGAATAGAAATATTACCAATACATAATTGACAATTTATGAACTATTGAATGACTAATATTTCTGAAGTTCCCAGTTGTTTCTCAACACATGACAACTGATGTGCTATGGTCTGCTTCTACTTACGATATCCTGACGTCAGTGTTCACTCTCGGTACATTTTTATCCGATTGAATACTACCATGGCATTATTGATGATTTTAGCACCTGAAAATCGACCGGGAAATCCTTCACACAAAAAAAGAATCTCTTTAATTGAGCATGACTGCATTGGTCCAAGAAGATAATTTGTTTGTATGTAACGAAAGAGATGATATTCTTGTTCCGAAACAATGATTTATTCAACAAGTCTCTTGTAGGAAAATTAAGACATGCATGGTTGGAGACGTCTGTTATGTTGAAGTGAGAATGGAATTAATTCATATTGACAAAACCATTTACTTTTTTCAGGAAAACCATAATTTTGAGGTGAGAAATCCATCTACCAAGAGGAAACAATAATTTTCTTGACTTGCAACTATGGATTACTATTATTGAGAAATGTTCTCTTTCATTTCAAAATGAACGATATATTAGTCAAAATTACGTCAATCTTCAATAAACACATTGATATTTTCGATCCGAATTTATGAGTTTTTCATAATGAATATTTAGCTCATTTACTCCAATGGCACTATTTCTTCTATCAAAATATTGACTGCTTAGTTAAAAATATAATAATGTTTTTGATTCGAAACTGTGAATGATTCCTAATGAGATAATAAAACTCCACAGAATATTCGTGAAGAAATATATTTTTGTTCCTTCAGTTGACAATAATCCCATGTATAGGTACATCTCGGATCAGTATAGTCCATCATGACCCCAAATGGTTATAGAATAATCACATGCATTGATTTCGTCTTTTTGAAGTTTTCCTGGAAATGATAACGGTCACAAACAATGACATAAGTATTATAATTGATTAAAAACTCACCTCTATAATATGTAATATCGTGACTGCAGTAATATCATGCCTTCTGGAAGATATCGGGTATATAGATTCGAGATACTCGGCAGGTATCTTTCTCTCACCTAATTTCAAGGTTCTTTCAAGTCTTTGCAATACCTCATTTGTAGATAATACTTCTTCATTCATCAACCAGTCGTCATTTTGCTACAAGAGAATTTCGTATTACATAATGAGCATATTTTCATAGCAGGATAATACTGAATTCCTGTTATTTTTATTGAAAATTGATTCACTCACAATGACTACCGAAATTTGCAAAGGTACCCACTTACTAAGGGAATTCAATGTTGTTCAGCATTTGTTGGATATTTATGTTCTGAGATGATTCACACCTATAAAATGAGAATGAAAGGTATTTGAGTGATGATTCTATTTAAGAAATAAAAAAATTCAGTCCACTCGCCTATTGTCAACAGTACTGTCTCGCTCTTCTGCTGATAATTGTGTTAACTCTGTTCATGCCAGATCTCTTTTAGTTACGAAATCATGTTCTCGAAGTAGCGGAACGCTAGAATCACTTCCACAGATTTGGAAGAAATGAAACCTTTTTCTTATTCCTTTTGATCCAAAGCACTGGGATCGAGAAATGCACGTCGTCCTCGATATAAATGTTGTGACAATTTGATCACGTTCTTTCATGTTATTGTGATACAAATCGAGATTAGAGGGATCCAAACGACGTATCGACTGCCTGCTTGAATTGCTTTTTGTTCCAAAATCTAATTTCCATTTCTAAGATATCGCCGGCTCACGAAATCGTCTATTACCTACTTATAATTCGATATCTATCAGTCTCGTTTATTGGTCTCGATACGTCGTTATGATAGCTTCATGAAGTAACTATCATTACTGATGCATCAGAATATCATCAAAGTATCCGAAAGTTGAGGATTCCAGAATTATGTTTGGAACAAACAACAATAGGTAGAATATCATGCAATTAGTAATAACGAGACTCTTGAATGTAGTCTCAGAAAAGGAATTACAAATTTCCTCAGAGATAAGAAAAAATTAAAATATAATCCAAAGTATGTCTTTAAGCATAAAGTCAGGTTAGGTTATATTTGTTTGGTATTCCAAAGTTGATTGAGATACTGGAGAAAATGCTGGTGACATTATGGTACAAAAAATATTTAAGATAAATCACCTTTTCAATTTTCGGGGCATGAACAAAGTATAAGTTCACTTTCTCGCTGAAATCATTAGCTGTGTTTTTTTCTCGGTGAATCTGAGTTCATTATACCTTATTAGAGTCGACTTTCTGAAAAGAAGTTTCAACTTCCATGTTTGCTTAACGCAGTTATATAATCATTCTTATTATCACGTTTATGGGCATTGATTGAATTTAATGAAGACGAATTATTCTACCTGCACGCCCCGTACCCATAATTCAGTGGGATCTTTTGTGGAGCCAATCCTTATTGATTATTGAGTGAAATAATGTTTCACGAAAGTGCACTGTAATGTTATTCCTGAATTTATTCACGCTGGGTGATACTTTCGACCTCTATATGGTTCCCAAGGCAAGCAGAAATTAAAATCCTAATATTTTACAATACAAGGATACAATAATTGATGATAGGAATTTCAGAAAACAACACTTCGATATCATCCACGTGAACATATTTTCAAGCGAGATCTACAGTGTGAAGACTTCAACTGGAATTAATTCGCTAGCGCGGGAAGGTGAATGTTTTTTCTGAAAATTCGCGAAATACTTCAACGTTTTGATGTATTCCCCATCATTTTGTATAGCAAATGAAGAATATAATCCTTCAGGGGTAGCATCAATGATTTTTTCAAATGCAACCCTATACGGCTTGTGACCCCTTATTGGAAAGCTGGTTGAAAGATCAGATCGGATCACATTTTAGTTCGCAGTTCCTTTTGGGGTTGCATAAAATCAAAATATTATTTCAAAGTTCAATATATTTCCAAAGTATCTTCATCAAAATTTCGATTTTTAGCTACGGAAAGTTTCATGTTTTTCTGAAGAATCACATTTACTTACCCCTTGAAGATGTCAAGAATATGAAGAATTTTTCTCTAGCGGTTATCTAGAATTTCAATGAAAATTATTCTTCATTTTCAACTTTAACACCCTGTTACTCGCAAACAAAGCCTTCTATGACTTCTGCGTTCCACATATTTCGAAACACGTTTCGTACTGTGAATACGCCATAGAAACTTTTTTTTTGCAGCTGTATAAAAACACTGATATAAAAAATATACAGGGTGTTTCCTAACTACGGTTCCTAACTGCAGGGGGTGATGTGTCAGGTCATTTTGAGAATAAAAGTTCCTATGAACATATATCCGGAGTTGCTTCGTTTCTGAGATACAGGGCGTTGAAATTAAAAAAAAAAAACGGTAATTATAAAATATCATGAATATCCTGGAACCGATATTGTTGAAATTTGGTACTTTTATTTGTCAAATTTTCTGAAATTTCAGCATATCAAGTGTCAATTAAATTTTTGGCGGAGATAATAAAAACTCATTTCTCCAATGCAGGTGTTCATGATATGCAATACAATGGCTTTGATTTTTTTTTTCTCGAAAACGAAGCTGGATATGAAGGAAACGCAAGAGACCAAAAATTTGTATTCTGAGTTGCTCAATCTAAACAAAATAAAAATTTACCAAAAAAGTCAGTGGCGTACTTTTTTTTCACAATATTGTTAGCTGTGGTGCCCACTGAGACGCCACTGGCCCTAATAATTCCAATCTAAATAGGGCTAAATAAACGCCTTATTAGTTCAAATGAAAGTACCATATTTCAACCAAATCGGTTCTAGGATATTCATGATATTTCATAATTACCGTTTTTTTTTCTTAAATTTCAACGTCCTGTATCTCAAAAACGAAGCAACTCCAGACATTAGTTAATAGGAACTTTTCTTCCTAAAATGACCTAACGAATCACCACCTGCAGTTAGGAACCGTAGTTAGGAAACACCCTGTATAAAAATTGCTATGAATTGTTTAAAAAACATTTTGAACTATTGTTAAGTTGAAAATAAATTGAATTTTGAAATTATATCTTGATTTCACGCAACCCTCAAACGTACAAAAAAAATTTGATCAGTACGCTGGATTCCTCTTCTCACCAGCTTTCCATGGAGGGGTCTCAAGCCATTTGGAAGAAGCATGGTGATTTTAGCTACCCTTGAAGGGATATATTCGCCATATTGCTTGCAAAATGTATGTAAATACATTGTGAAGTTTTTCGTGTGTCGGGAATTTTTTGAAAAAAATATTCAAATAAACAGTGATCCTAGACTTTCGTCATATAGAATATAAAACATCAATTATTTTCGATGCAGTGTACGGTGCAACGACTTGATTGAACATTGATTTCACCAGTTCGTTATATGACTCAGTTTCAAATCTAATGAAGTTATATCAGTTGAAAACATAGATTTTCTTCCAGATTTCTCTTCTTAATTTTTTTATTACTCCATTTGATGGGAAGCACCTACCAACTGAATTTTCGAATGTGAGTGTAGATCACGTTGTATATACAATGAGCAAGAATAATTCGATTTGGATAAAAACAATCATGCTCATGTAGCTTCGCGCATATGAGTAGATACCCTGAATACCATTGAAATGATGGCCATAAAATTAGTGAAAAATTGCACGAGGCAGATGATAACGATTCCGAATGAATACATTTCGTTCAGTGGAAAATCTTGTCCGTATTTTTTTGTGATTCAATTTCCCATTCTTTTTCGCAGGTTCGCTGTTAGTGAGGGGCGGAATGGCAAATTCTGGCACGAGCTTCAACTCTCTCTCCGAGAGCGAAACCCTCCCCCCTCTGCCTATGGGACCACCTGCGATGCCACAGAATCGCTTCGAACCCTATTTCGATGCAATGACTCCACGTAATGTAACAGCCCTCGTTGGGAAATCAGCCTATCTCACATGCCGAGTTAGAAATTTGGGAAATAAGACGGTGAGTCGAACAAAGGAAACTATTTACAATTCCCATCGGAAATTTCTGTGTTTATTTGATGTTCATTATTCTAGATTTTTTGGAATGATATTAAAATCATTGGAAAAAAGATAACAACCAGAAGAGAAAAATCCAGGAATCTGCTTGCATTCTTCTTAACGGAGACAATAGCATTTCTTCATGTTCAGTTGATATAGAATAGAGCATGGTATTCACTACTGAAATCTGAAAATGAAAATGGTAAATTCAAGATTATGTGAATAACTACGAAACCGAGTGGCAATTTGAGTGACATTAATTTTGATAGGAAGCTTGTACTCCTCCTGTATGGAGTTGGGAAGGATACTGCTAAAAATTTCGAGTAGATATTACAATTTTCTGAAATATTCAAATCTCATGAATATCACACATGATACCATAGAACAACATTTTTCGAACTTGAGTCATTGTAACTCATATTATGTTCTAATCCAATCTGAAATCCAAATATCTTGATTCATGAATCGACCATTCACTAAGTCCCTATACAGATAATGAATATCTTCTTCTTACTTGAATTCAACCCGTTATTTTCATAAACCGAAGATTCATTGTTCAGGTCCTCCCTGGCCTCGCCCTAGTTACGGCCCTGGGTATTGTTCGTCGCGCGTATCTCACCTTGTTAAGACTAAAAAATCTTCAAAGTCGACCTAATAAGCATAATCTTCTACTTGCCCCGAAATGAGACCCTTTCCTCGATTTCTATATTCATTCAAATGTAACGTTATTCGTTTTTCTCCCTTTCAAATCGTAATTGCTAAGTGTTTTGGGTGGAATCGGGTATTATTTCGATTATTGAAGCACTTCACGAATGAGTAGAGATGATGGCAATTATTCTTCAGTTAGAGAATAAGCAACGTTACTTCGGTACACCCTCTTCTCATTGAAGTTGTGAAGTTCATTGTGTTCGCAAGACATTTTCTAATTTAATAAATCTACGTAATGTGCCCAAATTTCAGATTAAATTTCCACTTGGAAAACACTTGGACGACTGTAGGCTCCATAAATGGAACAGAGAAGTGTTGTATTTTCAAATTGAGGAAGAGCAGGTAATCCAGAAGCTACTTGTAATGTCATCGAATATTCTATATATATTATCCGAAATCAGAGTATCTCCTTCGTTTTTTTTCCATGCACATGGTTTGTTAACGAAATATGTTGCATATCGATAGCGGCGAAAACTCGAAACATAGATGTATAGGTAGGTAGTTAATCAATTTCTGTCAATCATTTAATGTTAGTCAATAGCGTTTAAACTCTCGGTATCAAGACTTCGAGCGGCCATTTCAAAATAACTGATGCTAACAGAGAGGTGCGATGGAGGCGAACTATTACAAACATCAAAAGCCATTTTTTTAAAATGGGAGTAAAACGGAACGGCTGCTGCTACTGGCATGTGATATCGCTGTCAGTCCACTTCATTTTGCTGTTCAACTTGTCCGTATGCCGTATGCCATACCTTCCTATAGATGAAACTAATGCAGAAATGTTAATTCCCTATATGTATGACAGGTAGAGTGTGTAAATTATTGTGAATAGTCAAGTTCTCGTTATGGTGTTCTAGTGTCCACAAGTTCAGTACAGACATTCACTCCTACTGGATTACACATACAAATATTAACGTTGATGAATATTTCATTTGACACTTGGTAGCTTCGAGTAGAGATCGTTCATACAATTTTTTTTTATGTTCTGGTTCCAACGAAAAGGGTTATCTTGTAATGTTCAGAGAACATAGTGAGAACCAAGGGAAATAAGGTAGGAATTGGTGTTCTTCTTAAATTCCTGGAGGTAATATGCCTCGGGTAACACCTCCCTTGGCAATGTGTTCCAGAGCCTCGCTGTTCGTTGGATGAGCGAGTCTTTGGAAAGAGATGTACTGCAGGTCTCCAAAGTGACCACGAAGGGGTGCGAAGCTTCAACCCGACGGGTTAATCTCGCGGGGACTGCCAAGGGAGGAATAATTGTTTATAGTTCAGAAGAGCATCGTCCATGAAAATATCTATAAGATAGAGCCAGATCGCCAACTTTTCTACGGAGAAGTGAGTGAGTTTGTGAGCGAGGCATCACTCACGAGACGAACTGCCCTTCTTTGGACAGAATCCAACAGTTTCAGGGTAAATTTGGGTGCTGCACGCCAAATATGGGAACAGTATTCCATGACAGGTCGGATCTGTGCCTTATAGATCATAAGCATCTGACTGAAAGTGAGATAGCTCCTGGCCTGAAACAAAAAACCAAATTTTTGGGATACACCTTTAGCAATTGATCTCACGTGATTTCCCCAATAAAGGTTATTGCTGATAGTAATACCAAGCATCGAAACGGATGTCTTCAAAGGTATGGTTACTCCTGACAAGCTTATGTTGGGCACAGTGAGATCGGCTTGTCTAGAGAAAAGGCATGCTTGTGTTTTGTCTGCATTGAAATCTTCCAAGTTATTGGTACTGATTGAAAAAAACTGAAACAACAAGCTTTTATAGATAGCCAAACTAAGGGAAAGTAGAGAATGGAATAATCAAAGTGTGTTATACACAACATAGAAATATATTAACACTTTTGTAATTAGGTGCAAGACACTATCGTCTCTTTGGATTTCATACGAGTAACTTCTTGGTGCCAGACACTGCCGTGTCTCTGGATATAAAATGGAATGTGAAAAGTTATTCGGAGGAAAAAAAAACGTTCATTTAGAATTTTACCAACAGAACATTTGAAATTCATCATTTTACTCGAGAAAAAAATCGCTCTTCCTGAAGATCCTGATCAGGATATGATGGAACAAAACTATCAAATCATGCTATTGTCAGCGGTACTTCAATTCAATTCGACATTTTGAAGTGGGTCACGTTCGATAATTCCGTTGATATAAACATACATACCAAGCTAATATAGGCGTTTCAATAACACTTTTCTGTGGATCTAAATTCATTGAGGTGAGTAAAATGATGTGTACCCACAGAATCAGATTCGTTTACGGAACAGCGTACTAGGTAATGAAAGTTGTGTGAAGGTGATCGGATTTAGGTCTCCCAGTATTTTCAAAGCGTCTAGTGGAAAGTGGAAAGCAGAAGCGGACGCGAAAACCGAAGCCACGCCATCACAACATAGACATAGCGACGCTTTCCCAGTTTTCCACTGGATATGATTACTTGGCGCCGTATAGATTTTAAAAATAAGCACCGTGATATTTCCTCTCGGTGACATTTTGAATTTTCAACATATGTCGCTGTGGTATGGAGAATCAATTCAGCATTGTACGGGGTCGCTGTTCCTGAACGAAATTGGTTCGCTTAAAATTGAAGTTTTTTATCCCCCGCAGTTTTAATTGAGTAGCAAATTTTTACCGCCCTGTAGATGTGAATAAGACATCCACTGTCATCCCAGTTCAGGAGATCCTTCGAGTGTTATACAAGGTATCCCAGAACAACGTAGCATAAAACAGGATGAGGCCGATTGAAATTAATTTGACGATGAAAAACAATCCTTTTTTCAGATTTTTTTTGATATTTCGAAATCCTTTAAAGGTACTGCTCTGAAATTCGTTGGGCAATTTACTATATGAATGTGCATGGAAAACAAGTCGTACCAATTCAATCAATATACAGGGAATTGGGTCTTGTTAATGAATGACCAAAATCAATTATCCCACTTTTTTCTGACTGCAGAGATATGTAACAAAATTCAGTTTGGTGCTCCTGCATACTTGTTTATGATTATGACGATGATCATGTTTTGCACGTTTTTACCTCATTTGTGTTGATTTACTGACGATAAACATGTTTATCAACTACTTTAGCATATGATTTTCGTATTGAGGTTGGTTGATTCCAATCGGCCTGATTTGGTGTCTAGTTCACCCTGTAGAATTGGTACGTTGTTCTGGGACAACTTGTATATGTAGTTGAGCAGGGTGAACTCAATGGAAACAAGACAAATAGGTTGCTGCTCTATACGTTTGAACATTGTATCGGAACGGCGAAAAGCTGACTAACTTATTTCGCAATACACTACCGAACCAGCACATACGAAGTTCCTTGTTTTATTGGATTTCTCCAATTCCCTCAAGATGGGATGGAAGAGAACAATTAGACTAAATACTCTGCTGTAATTCGATCAAGAAAAGAAAATGTACCTCTTTCAGCTTCACGCTCTGATTATTCATACAAGGTGTCCCAGAACAACGTACCATAAATACGAAATGTACCGTTGGGTCGAGAGAGAGCGATGAAAAATAATTCCATTTTCTTGAATATTTCAAAATTTTTGAAATGTTCTTCGTTAAAATTTGTAGGGCAAATTACTATCGTGAATATGCATGAGAAACATGTCATACTAGTTTAATAATTATACTTTGAGATAGATATTTCACATTTCCTTCGATGAAAATTGATTTTACTTTCTTCAATGAACGACAAAAACAATCATCAAACTTTTTCCTAACCGCAGTTTTTTTTATAATTATTCTTGGTTTTCGAGATATCTAACAAAACTATTCTAGTGCTTCTCCATACTTGCTTATAATGTCAGGATTAGACCACGCTAATCATGTTCACCATTTCGCAAGCTCTTCATCGTATGATCTGAGTGCTGGTTATTTCCAAATTTCATTTAATTCTCTCGAAGAAAAAAATTAATAGAGAAAAAAATAATTTGAAGATGACCAACAACTTGATTACATGCTAAAGTATTTCATAAACATGATATTTGTATGCATTTACTCAATACAAATGAGGTAGGAACTTGCAAAACATGATATTCCTGACACATCATAAACAACTACGGAGAAGCACCAACATGAAATTCGTTAGAAATCTCGAAAACCAAAAACATTTTAAAAAACCCCTGTTAGAAAATAGATGGATAATTGATTTTGTCATGCATTGAAACATGAAAATGAGGTCGGTAGCGTACTCCAAGAAAGTAACATGAATTTTCATCGAAGAGAATGCGAAATATCT